TGCCTCTCATTCTCCCCCCTCCGCGTCCCCTCCATTTTCTCCCGCCCCCGCCGCCCCCTCCTCCCGCCTCATTAGGCGCGGCCGCGGCGCGGGGCCCATTAGCGGATCAATTAGCCGAGGTCGCCGGCGGCGCGGTCGTTAAGCGCGGGAGGCACCTCCGCCCGCCCCGGCTCGGCGGCCGCGGTGCGCGCCCCAGGCGCCTCTGGTCACCCTGCCCCTTGGGGCTCCCGGACCTGCCCCCTAAGCCCTGGGACGGGGGGCGGGGGCAGCCCAGAGGGAGATCCCGAGGGCACAGACCTGTCCGTGGCTGGGCAGGGACCCCCTCCTTCGGAGAAGACCCCAGGGTGGGGGGGGATGTCGGGTTAGTGGCCCCCCCACACCTGAGGCGCCCTTCATCTGCCGGCAACACCCGTCATAATGTCAGCGGACAGTTATGAGCCCTTGCAGGCTGTCTGCTCCTTTTCGGAGCAGTTTCCCAGAAACCTGGATCAGACAGGCGACTCTGCTGGCCTCGGATCACTACCTGGGGTCGGAGGCGCGTGCAAATTCAGGCCTGTCCCTAGTAAATTTGCCAACATTTATTGAGTTGCCGCTATACGCAAATTTAAAAAAAAACCCAGACCCCACACATCCCTTCTGTCTTGTTCTCTATCACCTGTACATCCCTTCTCTGCCTTGTTCTCTGTCGTAAACACACCCAGTGACACATTGAATGTTCTCCTTATTTACCTGCCCACCCGGACCAGGAGCGCAGGGGTTTCTGTCGGCTGTGGCCCTGGGTCTCCACGAATGAATGAATGAATGTGCCAAGTTCTGCTGTAAGCACTTGTATATGACCTTCATAAGGAGGGCTCATCCTGTGTTATACCCATTTTACAAAGATGGAAACCAAGACCCACAGTGGTAAAGCCGCTTGCCAAGGTCATGCAGCTGTGAGAGAAAGTCAGGATTTAAACCCACACGGGAGATTCGTGCCTGGAACCGTTATGCAGCATATTAATAATAACTGCTGTTACTTGTGTGGGGCCCTGGGGGGTGAGGCTGGGCACAGAAGCCTGCTTTGAGGAACATCAGGGGAGGCCCTCAGGAGACTTCTGGGAGTCTTAAATGATCAGAACCCTGGGGAGAGGGGGAAAAAAATCACTGTTCCAGGTAAAGGGAACAACATGTGCAAAGGCCTCAAGTAAAAAAAAACCGCAAGATGGAAGAGAAACAACAGCAGCAAGATGTTTCAAACTGGCTGCATCCAGCTGAGAATGATTGGAGGGGTGGGCAGCAGCCCTGACTTTGCAAGGTCTCGTGGGCCTAGGTGAAGAATTTAAAATTTATTCTGAGGGCCAAGGATGCCAACGATAACCTGTCTTTTATAATTTTTAAAAATTGTGAAATATAACACCCCAAAGAGTACAGATTGTAAGTGAACAATTCGATGAATTGTCACAAAGTGGGCACACTCGTGTAATCAGTCCCCAAGTTAAGGAACAAAATGTGAGCAGCCTGTTAACAGAACCCTTCGCCCCTCCCCCATCCCAAGGGTGGCTGACACTATGTGGCCACTCAGTCCTATTTTTGTCCTTTATGTAAGGGGAATCACACCGTATGTACTCGTTTGTACCCAGCTTTTGTTCTGCATTATGCATGCGAGAGGCGTTGAGTGTGGTGAGGTCCATTCTTTTTCGTGGCTGTGTGGTATTCCACAGCAAGACTGTCACGGCCTCTGGGGCCTGCTGTTTCTGGACAGTCGGAGGTATCCAGCTGTGGGCAATACTGGCAAACGCCAGTGGCTCTGAACACTCTTGTATCATATCTGGTGGGTTCAAGTGGCACTGTCTGTTGGGGCATGCGTCCCTGCGGGAGATTACTGAGCGCCAGCCTTCCCAAAATGTAACAGTTTTACGGTTTTACAATATACAAGGGTGGGCTTCAGCAGAGGGCTGATGTGACCACCCAGTCCACTCTCCTCAGGGACATGGGACATTTCCCAAGGTCAGCAGCCTGGCCCCTCCACCCGTGTCCTGCACCCCTCTCCTTAGAACCCACTGAATGGGAGGCAGGTGAGATTTGTTTGGACTTTCAAAGTCCTTCTGGTGCTCCCAGGAGCCTGAGGGTGGAAATTCCATGCCATGCAGCCCACCTGGATTTGGTAAGGTCGGATGGCTGCCCTCAGTGCCTTGTCCCTGTCTGGCCCCATACCCTGGGTGGGCAGTCCTTTGGCTCGCGTGCAAGGTGCACTTGGGAATCCCCTTTTCTCCTAGCTCTCCCCACGGTGGTCCAGCTTGGTTACAGCTGGGGGTGGCCTTCAAAGACTCCTCGGAAGGTCAAGGTTTAGCTGGGGGTCTGCATTGTCTGATCTAGAAAAAGGATCAATGTGTGCGTATGCAGTGGGGATGGACTGTGCAGGAGAGAATGTCACTTTGGAGCCCTCTGGCCTGGGACTGATGAGAACCCAGCTCTGCTAATCTTCAAGTACCTGGGCCATGCTGTGTGACCGAGAGCCTACAGCTGACCCTCTCTGGTCTGTGCATCAAGTTCGAGAGACTACGCTTACAAGCTGGACTCACCTAGGACTCTCAACAGCCCCATCCTGTAACAGAGGAGGGAGTTCAGACATGAAGAAGTCCCCTCCTTCCCTGGGAAGGGGGGTGCACCGCGGGCAGCCCACAACACAGAGGCAGGAACACGGCAGCCAACCTTCTCACATCTTTATTTGAAAGGCACAGCTAAGCCCACCCTCAATACAGCATTCTCACTTCTCTCTGCAGAGATCACACGGCTGAACACAACAAAAGCTGACAGTCTAAAAGGCTATATACAGACACAGGCGTGGGTGTAGCTTTTTTTTTTTAAACATTTTTTTAATAACCCTTTTCTTAAAAGACACGCTAGTATCCTGGAAAAAGGGAAAAAAATTTAAAAGAAAAACCAAGACAATTTGAGTACCCTCATCTTTATTCGGGGAGGGGAGCAGGGGGATTCTGGGCCGCCCACCCTGACCCCGTGCGTGCATCCGGGCTAAGCTGGCTCCCCTCTGCCCCCTCCTTCTGGGCGAGGGGAGAGGCCCAGGTGGGTGTGGGCACAGGACTGAGCAGACGGGGGGTGGGCTGGACAGGGAGGGGGAGACGTGGGGTGCCCAGGGCAGGAAGGGGCAGCTAGCGTTGTCTGCATGCAGTGCCAGGGTGGGAGGTGGGGTGTGTCCTGAGGGGGCCGGGTGGGCAGACTGTCAGTTACACGCATGTGGAATGGGGAAGTGTGTGTGGGGGTTGCTGGGGTTTCTGGAGGTTCTGCTCCCTTCTGACCTGGCCTCTAGGCCTCAGCTTGTCTCATCTGTGGTATCACCAGGTATTTACCTATTCAGGCTTCAGGGGAAGGGGCGGAAGCCGGGAGCAGGGGGCAGGGGCAAAGCTAGGGGGTGGCACACTAGCAGGTGGCCACCATAAATACTACCAGTCAGCCGATCCCGAGCTATACTGCGTCTCGCACTGACCCTTCCTCTCTCTGTGTCTGTCCCCCCCCTCTTGGTCCCCCCCACCTCCCCATCCCGGCCGCCCGCTAATCCGACTTCTCGCCGTCATCCTCCTGGTGGGTATCACCGTCATGCCCGTTTTTGTCCTCCTTGGAGAGGTGGGCCTGAGAGCCCAGTGCGGACAGCGAGAGGAGGCCGGTGCCCCCGCTGACTGCCGGCAGCGACGGTGGCTGCAGCCCCACAGGCAGTGGGGTCAAGGGCAGGGCCAGAGCCTGCAGCTGGGACAGCTGGTGGGCTTGGAGCTGCTGCTGCAGGACAGGAGGGGGAGCATCAGCCACCTCGAGCCCACCTGCTAGCCACCCGCCCACCCGCGACCCCAGACGTACTCGGATGATGGAGTTCAGCTCAGGAGCGGTGACCTGCTTGGCCCTCTCGATGGCTCCCAAGACTTGCTGCTGGTGCTGGAAGGGTGTGGGGTGGAGGAGGTGGAGAGAGGAGCCGGGCTGGGGTCTGAGGCAGAGCCCAGGAGATGTCCCCCCACCCTGCCATGTTTTTTTTTTTCCCACCAGAAGCCCTCCAATTCCAGCTGCTGCTTTTCCCCAAGCTGCAGTTTTCATCTGGACAATGGGGACAAATGGGGACGTGTAGAGGACGCAAAGGGGTTGGTGCCAGATACACAGGCAAAGGTTCTGTGGATGAGTCCAAGAGAAACCCTGGATCACAACCATGTGCAGAGAAGTAAAAGCGCAGTGCACAACCTGGCCAACTGTACAGAGAGGTCCCTGATGCTGAGGGCTCAGAGACTGTGCTGAGGCCTGCTAATCTTTCCTTCCACAGCCAGGAAAGACCCAGTGAATTCTGGCAGTGCTGGGGTATGAGTCTAGGTTCCGGGCAATTGCCCTCCACCCACCCACCAGCCCTCCCCCAAATGCTATCTCTCTATCATCAGATGCTAGAATCTGCCCATCTCGCTTTTTGCCTTAGCCACCAGGAAGCCCATCATGAAAGAAAAGCCTAAGTCTAGGTCTTTAGAGCCCCGAGAACCCCTTTCCTGGGGCTTTCATGGCATTCTTCTGGAACTGCCCATGGGCATGCACATCACCCAAGATAAGGGCAGGGATTAAAGAGGAGGTGAAAAATGGCCAACAGTGAACCTGGCGGAGAGCAGGGCGGGCAGGGGCAGGGAGCCTGGTGCCCCTGGGTGCATGGGTACACGTGTCCATGTGTCAGTGTACATGCGCACATCTCCGTGTTTACACGTGTGCATGGCCACTCTGCATCTCCGTGTTCCTGTGTCTGTGGGTGTGTGCAGCGCCCTCCCCATACACACAGCCCCCTTGTCCATGGCCTGAAGGGGCCACAGGGTCCGGCAAATGGATCTCAGGAGGGTGAAAGGTAAAGCAAGACAGAAAAGATTCTGAGCGCCATGTTTGGCCCATCTGACATTCCCCATCTGGGGAAGTGACTCACTCAGTCCGGAATTCCACAGCGTGTGGAGGCCCCTCTCTCCACAGCCCTATGCCTCAGGGGCTTGCTTTTCAACCCTGGGGATTCTCTATCCTTGGGGATTTTTCTGCACAGGCTGGCTAGAGGCCTGGGAGACCCAGAGAGGGGCGGCATGTGCCCTGGCGTGCCCAGCATGCTGCTGCTCCAGATGGCTGCCAGGGGCAGGGCCTGGGGCAAGTTCACATCCATCTACCTCCTCCGCCCTCCAGCCACAGGGTGCCACTCACCTCTTGGGAAAGGTAGGGTAGAACCTGGGCACAAATCCCATTCAGCCTCTTGACGATTTCAGCCTGGAACACACAGACACTTCAGTCCCGGGCGGGCGGGCGGGCGGCAGGCAGGCACCCAGGGCAGGTGCAGACCCGCCCCTGCAGGCCTGGGGTTCTGCTATCTAAGAGGCCAGCGCTGCCCAGGGTCAGAGCGTAACACCAAGCCTTCAGCACCCAGTCAGCAGCGAAGGAGGAATCCTAGGATGCTCGAGGCCCTGAGACTGACAGGGCTAGATAGAATCCAGGCTCGGGGTCTGGCTGGCCCTGGGAAAATGATCTCTAGGGCTAGGGCCTGGTAGGTAGTGAGCGCTCCGTGGGAAGGAGGGAGGGAAGAGTGGGGGCAGTTGGCATCATTTTTTATGGCATCCTTCAGGGCACAGATGGCGAAAGCAGGGCTAGAGAGCCGGCGGCAGTCTGGGGGTCCCTGGCATGTTGGCGCGTGTCACCTTCCCCCACATTGGGAGACAACAGGGAGGAGGCGGCAGGTCCCGGGGAAAGTCTGCTCCACCCCCTCAGGGAGATGAAACTTCCCAGGGAAGCCGAAGAATAGAAGTGTTGCTGGGCAGTAACAGGAGAGCAGAGTGGCCTTGGTCCTCAGCCAGGGGGCGGGCTCCTACCTGCCCAGGGTGCGGGGAGAGGGG